CGTATATCAGCATTTAGTAATGTATCGTTGAGTACCTATGATAACGTTTGGTAACTTAAGACAGTATCAAGTCATGTATAGTGACTTAAAACAATTATTAGGCGCCGCATAGTAGCATGTAAAAACGTATTTTAACGTTTAGTATCGTGTCTAATTTTAAACATTTAGCAATGTTTAACAACGTACAGTAGATTATAGCAATGTTCTGATAACGTTGACGATATTTCGTTACGTATAACAACGAGAATAAATATTTGGCATTGTATGAAAACATGTATAACTATTATGGTGAATGGTAATATTTTGTAATGTATAGTACCGTAGTAGTTACTAACGTAGAGAGGCGTATAGCAATGTATGGTTAGATCTGGCAGTACACAGTATCGCATAAATACGTATAGTAGTGATTGGCAATGTATCATAACATACTAGGGTAATATTTAGTACGGTGTGTAGGCGGGGGGTGACCCGAGCAAACCCTGTAAATGAGGGCGCTCTTTGTCTGCCGCGGTTCAAACAATTCCATGTCGCTCCTCTTCACTTTCTATGCATGAAGTCCAAACAGTGCTTGTAGCAATCTGGTTAGCAAATACAGTCAATTCACTGAGTAATTACTTCTCTTCTGCTCGGTAACTGAAACTGTTCTACTTCCTATGAACCCCTACCAAAATGCAATATACATTATATATACGTAACGCTGTACTGTATACGGTTTTCCATTCTGCAGAGAACCACATGTATATTTTGTATATGTATATGTTGGTATATTTTTTTTTAGTTTAACATCGTAAGAAAGAATTATGCCTGCTTCAAATTGACGTCATGTGATTCGAATTTTAGCAAATAATCATATCAAAACGTAATTGAGAGATATTATTATTACTCAAGGTAAAGGTGGGGTTTTTAAATGGTTTTTGTGTTACCCTGATAATAGTTAAGGATTCCATTAAGCACTTTGTGTATTTAATTTTTCTATTGAAGAAATAATTCAAGTTTCTGTATTAAAATAAAACGGCAACAATATTGCAAATAATGAACCAAACACCTTTAAACAACATTCCACCTCCTTGCAATTACACTACTTAAATAGTGAAAAGTCTTAATTTATTTCTAAGTCTTCACACTCTTACATATTACTTCATGCAAATCATTAGAAACATGTAAACATTAACTAATTTTTATTTAAGAATAAATAAGTATGTATTCATTGGTATAATAATATCTTAGAGCGCCAAAAATACGTCAAATAACACTTATGATAATATATTTACATTCTTACAGTTTACTCACAATATGGTTAACACATATAAAGATGGTAAGTGGTAATCGATTTCGATTGGACTCTCCAATCATCATCATACCCAATAGGTGAATGACGTATTTGTTGTGCTTTCAGGTAATTTAATAACACGTACAATGCTGATCAAGAAGTTATTTATAATAATATACCATGCAAAATATTACCCATAAAAAAAGTTTAATCACTGGGGTAATAAGGTAAACCTGACGTTAAACATAAGTAAATGGAGATATCAGTTATCACGACGCAAATAACATTTACGAGGAAAATGTGAGTGAGTATCGGTGTGTATGACGGCTGTGGTGGTGGGGGGTGCGAGGAGGGAGTGGGAGGATTAGCCTGCAGGAAGTACATAGGCATCAATCCCACCAGCAATATCCGGCGGTCCCGCAGGAAGCCTTCCCGGTTAATCTTGCTCTCTTGTTCCTGCTGATGCAGTGATACGGTGATGCTGTGATACGCCTGGACGCGCCACACTTCTTACTTCATTCTCCACACTTAGCACTTATCTCTCTAAACTTAACTCTTTGCTCACTTTACACTTAGCACTTATCTCTCCACACTTAGCACTTATCTCTCCACACTTAGCACTTTTCTCTCCACACTAAGCACTTTGCTCTCTTTACACTTAACACTTCTCTCTCCACACTTAGCGCTTCTCTGTCCACACTAAGCACTTTGCTCTCTTTACACTTAACACTTAGCACTTACCGGTATCTCTCCACACTTAGCGCTTCTCTCTCCACACTAAGCACTCTCTCCTCGTGCCAACTGTTGGTCTATAACCACATTCAAAAATTGAAAGCGAGACTAGAATGTGTATCTTAAAAAAAACTGCACATAAATTAATGTTGATGAAAATCTCTGTAAAATATTAAATTGAGCCGATGTTGAACAGGAAAGTTTGTGATGAAGTTAAGATGATATTTAGTTTATTCCAGAAAAAATATAGCATTTGTATTACTAGCTTGCGCTGTAGATACAACAAGGCATGTTTAATACAACCGTGGACTTTGAAAACATCTCATTTTTATAAACAGCAAGCAAGTTAGCAATAATACAGTACTTAAATAAAAAAAAAAAAATTTTGTATCGACTGTAATAAGACCTATCTGTATTATTCAATGGTAAAAATAATCAAAACAAGATCATTATTCAAACAGCTCTTTTGGTATTTAATCTCAAAACAAACGTTAAATATCTAGTTACAGTATTAAAAATGTGCAAGAACTTTTATTACTGAGATCTAATCAATTATTATTAGTGCATTTAATTATACCACTTTGAACGAACTAATGAGATGAAAATATAAACCTACTAATGATGTATATGTTGAGGTATCTATATAATTAAACATGTTTGTATCCCCGTTATCGCGGTCGAGTTCACTCATATAACTAACAGACTTTGTTCATATTGTCAAGCAAACATTTTCAGCAAACCAAAATTATTATTTAACGCTTTAGTGATGGGGAGATTTACTGATAATAGTTTTTGTATAAATTTTATCAGTCTGGTTGTTGTTTGCAAACGTATAGTGATAGTGTTATTTTACATATAATTAAAGATGTCTAGGGAAAAGCATTATGCTGCCCCTGTCTTGATACTCAACATTCACAAACAAAGCACAACAATGGGTCATCTACCAACAAAGTTGATTTACATGCCACCAGTTTTAGAATGTGGTTCGAGGACACTATATAAGTAGAAACAGTGTTTAAATTAAAACAATTCTTGTCTTTAATTTGTTGGACATCCAAATAAAAGTAATAATATATTTTCAAAAAGGTTAAGTTCATTTGTTTATTACGCGTTACTTATTGTTATAGGAAGGAGGCTTACTAAATTACTATTCAACAACGATAGTTATCCGGATCTGTAGACACTTTATCACAGTTTTCTAGAAGTATATCAACTGTTGACATATAAAATGGTTTCGGGCGCTCTAAGCCAGGATCCTAACCCCACTTTCTTGGCAACACCACTCCCAACTAATCCTTCTTTTATCTGATTATAAATAACTAAAAGCGAGCCCCTCTGCAGCCTGCTTTGTTATTGGGCTTCTCAGACAAGTGAAACTGTTATTAGTAAAAATAACAACAATCGGTTATTAAGTTTAGGTAAGCTGTTAAAGTAAAACTACTTTATTTAAAAAAAATATGCAATGATATATTTTATCAAGGGAAAACAGTTAATGAATAGCTGTTGGTTAGTAAATTAGTTATTTAACTCATTGCATTCAGGTAATTTCATATAATGTACAATATTTTTAAACTAACTATTCAACCTATTCTTAGTTTTAGATTAATTTTACCGTTATTAACTTTATGTCAGTTAAAGGATTGTTGTGAATTATGTCCATTTTGATAAGCGAAACGCACATTTTAAATAATTATATTTTCAACCATAAACTGGTTTAACTAATCATTAAGAAATAAAGTACAGAACAACCACACAAAACAATATATTTAACTAAGTAGATATAAATTTTCATGACCTGGAGTTTATATTAAGAAGGATTTTGGTGTTTAACTTGATTATAATGGTCTCTTAAATAAAAAAATATCATTCCGCAAAGCTATGTTAAAAACTAAAAATAATTTTTGTTTCCACCTTAGAGGGGTACTGTACATGTAAGAGGGTACTTTCTTTGAATTTGATACATAGTTACTACATTAGTTAATTTGAGTATTAAACCTTAAACCCATCAAAGGTAAAGATAATGTGTTCCATCATTATAATTTGTTAGATTATAACTAACGAAAGAAAATGGTTCGATCTTTGAGTTTTTAAATGCACATTCTATTATCAGCTGGAATTCAAATAATCTATATTCGGTGGTGTAAATTTATAATACAAATTGAATGTGATAGATACAATAGTATACACACAAAATATGTATCTACATACAAATATATACCATATACATAACATACAATGTTTTTATAGAGTATTGTAACAGTGCAATACATTGTGCTTGAGTCGTTATCATATTAAACAACCCGAATTCGAAGCTACATTTCCTGCATAGGTAAGACTAGTTAAGGTGCATTTTTACACCAAATCATAAAACCTGTTACTTTCATTAGATTAATAGGCCTCCCAGAGAGAACAGCGACACCCTTTAAATTATTTGTCATTTCGAATCGGATTATGAGCCGGCTGGCAGTTTGCCTGTTGGGCTGTAATTTTGTCTAATGCAGCTCCGCCACTCGTTTCACATATTTTATTCAATTTATTGCTGTCCTTGGGTGAAATGTTTTGTTGTTCTTTTCTCACCATTTCCGCCCCTAACTTTTCTTTGATTTAAGATAGTCTTCGCTGTGCGAGTTTGCTCCTGCTGTGCTGCCGATTATATTGTTTTTCTGGCAACGCATTCAAATTCGGTCACAATATCTCGTATTGTATTACTGTTATATTTTGGTATATGATTTAAAGTTGATCTATTATTATGGTGCAACTGTAATGCTTCTATGTCTCTTTCTAACATTACATTTTGTAATAGTACATAATGAACTGGCTTAGACTACTTATTTTAAGATGTTTGTACAGCATTCTAAGGCTCCTGTATAAGGCTATTTACTACCTTTACTAACTGTGAGGTAAAATGGTATAAAGGTGTACAAAATAAATATTGGTTTCATGATAATAAACTATTAGTTTTTATATTCCTTGTTTAAAAAGTATATTTCTGTTCCAGAACACTACCACATATTCGTTGGAGACCTAAGTCCGGAAATTGAAACCCAAACGTTAAGAGAAGCCTTTGCACCGTTCGGGGAAATTTCGTAAGTAAACTATTATTTTATATTTCTCTTAATACGGTTGCCTATAATCCAGTTGGATTAGTTGTAGGCCATAAAAACTCATACACTTAATATAGGCTACTATCTATGTGTTCCAGTTCCATCAAGTTATGTGAATCTAAATGGATATAAACCTTTACAATAATAAATTACGTTTTCAGTCAGCATGACTTTTAAATACTCATATTCAAGAACGTGTAAAGTAGGTAGACATTTATTTACTAGCATAACACTTAAGATCCATTTCAACAGCAATTCCATGATTCTAGTTAACAAATAACATATAACCTACAAACTGATGTACTTCAGAAAACAAACTAAATGCTGGTTGTTACAACACGTAGATGAGTTCATCGATTACTCACTAGCAAGTAAAATAATTCCATTGTAAACTTTTTCTTATTGCTCGGCGAGGGTAAACATCCTCCTACACAACTCCTCCATCAGTAACTATTCAGTAGTGAATTACATACTTCATGATTAACTTTCATTTATAAATGGTATGTAAAAACTTTCTGCGTTTCATCAGCTAGATCGTCTGACAGCTAGATATCCCACTCGGGGTCGATATGACTAACATGGATGGGAGTTACAGTTCACCCCAGGCCAGCAGGGCTTAGTCGTCCATAGCTAAATTACATGTTTCACTGTGAGCCCAAGTAGGGGTCGATATAGAGACAGGGGTATTGGCAGCTATACCCTGACATATATGCTCAGTCGTCCATTATTTGAATGATGCATTTTACATTAGTGCAGCTCCTATGAGACGGAAGTGTCTAATGGTGTATCGATAATTAAAATTTTTATACATAATAATACGCCTCTAATATGTAACATTCTTGATTGATGTGTATACAAATCTACAGTTAGTGTTTATGGTTTAAAAGTTCAATGTAAGCATGCAATTTATTTTATGCTTAGAATCCAGACGATTATTATGTATACTCTAAAAGAACAGTTTTTAACAGAGCGTTTTAATGTGTTGAGGCCTTAAATTTTAGGCTAGAAATGACTTTTTAAACGCATGTATTCAGGGTATCCATTTTATAAAGAATAACACCCTCTACTGCCTTATAAGAATAATAAATAATAATAGCAATATGTCTTCAACAGAGCATAGCATAAACGCAATGCATAGTTTTACTTCAATTTATTTAATCTAATCGGAAATATGAAGATGAAGTAATACATTTTGTACTAGGCAAGGATTCATGAATATCAATAAGCAATCAAGAGACATTATACATTAAAATGATTATTGACACTTTGATGGTGTAGTGTGTAGTGTATTGTGTAGTGTGTAGTGTGTATTGTGTAGTGTGTAGTGTGTAGTGTGTAATGTGTATTATGTATTGTGTATTGTATAGTGTGTATTGTGTATTGTGTAGTGTGTAATGTGTATTGTGTAGTGTGTAGTGTGTATTGTGTTGTGTTTATTGTCTATTGTATAGTGGGTAGTGTGTATTGTGTAGTGTATGGTGTGCCTACCAACTGACAGTCAGCGGCGTCGTGTCGGAGAGTAATCATGCAAAATGAGGACGAACTTCTCAAACAAATGGAGATATCAGTAAAACGCCGAGTCACTTTCAGTCGATGACGGCAAAGTTGGCTGTTCGCCGGCCAAGTGGCCCTATTAATGGACTTCTGTATTGATCCATCAGATCAAGGTTGTTGTTTATTTTCTTCATCTCATAGCTGTAATTTGCTTCTCGTTAAAACTCAATAATCTAACGGTTGATATTGTTTGTAGAAAAATTAGGTGGTCAGCATATTATTTTAGAGTCTTTAAACATGTTTTAGTGGTTAAAAAATGCACTAGTAAGATTGTTATCAGGGTTTTATTTGGTATTCATAGAGCTTAATATTGTTGTACCGGTATACTGAATTAGTCTATTGATGTATAAAAGTATTTGTGTGTAAGTTCGATTTACTTCACATCCAGTATTTTAGGCAAACGAATCCAGCATGGAAAGTGAGAATGTGTGATAAATTGTGTTTGAGGGGTAGCGTGCAGACAGGGTGGACAAAACCCAGTTTATGCCGTGTTTTACAAAGGGACCCGAAACAATTGAGGCTGATACAGTACGGAGCGTTGCGGAGCAGCCATTCCCTTATTCACTCTTCTAAACAGAACGCTTTTCTAAAGCCACATTTCATTTGTTTTAAAACAAACGTTAGGACGAGAAAAAATTAATTATGATGGAGACTGAACCTCGATTTGCTCTTGTTTGTATCTTCAATGAGAAAAAAACTGAAGTATTTTCACATGGGAATTTCATGTATGTAAGCTTGGACTGGTTGTTCAAACATGATGATTAAGCACTATTGTTAGAAATACAAGTTCTTTATCTACCGTTTTTAGCACTGCGCCAAACCTGCATGAAACCTTTTTTTGTGCATGTTACGAACTACAAAAGAAATGATTCGCTATTGATGTGAGAATGTTGAAAATAAAATCTGTCTCTTTTAAGAATTAAAATCCCTTACCACTAAGTATAACGTTGGATTTTAACAGATTTTCCAATGGATAGTAGCAACAACTGTTATTTTCTAGATCTAGATTAGGTACCATTGGAATGCTTGGATCACCAGAAGCCAAAAACGTCATTAGATCAGCTCTTCGTATATGTGAATGGTACCACACATATGGATTCTCTAATTTTTACTAAATTCAGCTTAAAATGCCAGAACCAACCTATTTGAATGGGTCCGTAAGCTAGCTATCTCCGAACACGAGAAGGAATGTGTGCAACCCAAAAAATCATATCTTTGCTTTGACATCCATCACGTGTATTGTTATCAAAACTATTGTTCAGCACTCAGGTATGAATACATTGACTAAAGTCCTTGTATTTCATTCAATGTCATAAATATATAATAACATATTACGTATTAAAATGTTGTATAATTTCAACCATGGCGTTATCAATCATATTGATTACTCAACACCTATTTGGTCCATTTGAATGATTATGACAAAATATATAGAACAAGAATATTTTATTTTGTGGAATGTGTTTTATAAAACACCATTAGCCTTATTTTTACATTCGTAACTGTTCGTAAAATTTTTTTGGACATTTCTAATAGGCATTAAAGTTAAAATTATTAGAGCATTAAAACCTAAAGAATATAGATTTAGCTTATACAAAAGAGAAAATTATTTTCAAGTAGTAGTAACTAAAAAATGGATAGTTGATTGCAAAGTATTCTTAGAAATATCTGAGACCACGCACGCATTGACTGTATATAATTAGTTGTTGGCTGTGAGTAGGTCATTCGAAATAATACTCATCTCTGTAATACCCGTGAATGTACGCGATCCGACTGTAAACCAATTACTTGCCGACTGGGCATTGCTCCGTCTACTCTGGCGATTGTTCAGCCATAGTATTAGGCTAATAATATCGATCCAGACATTCGGATTTGTCAAGATACGATATCCAGAAACCTTATATGACCTTTATTGTAACCATACCTATTGTGTTTTTATGCCGTACATCAACCTTAATTGAATATAAATTTACGGATCTTAACCATAGTAAAAACAAGAAAGTAAGTAAACCAAACACAAAAGATGATTTATGGCGAAGTACAAATATAATTGCAAACTATTGCTTCCACCGAGGAGTGGACAGTAAGTGTCCCATGGAGATTGTAGTAGTCGTTACAGTAATTTGTAGTTAGTGACTCAGGTCGAACACGAGTCTTAACCACTGAGCTTGAGCACTGAGCAGGTGGTAGCACTGAATGAGTAAATTGAAATAAGTTTGTTGCCATTCTACGAGTAGTATAGTACATTGTGGACATTGTAGTAAGTAAATCAGAACTAGGAGCTGAATAGGAATAGAGGGTTGTAGGATTGAAATAATCCACGAGCCCATGAACTGGTATATTCCTCTAGTTGGTACCAATAGAACCAAATTTTGTAACTTGTAGATTTTCTAGCTGAGATGCCGTGCAAAATCTACCTCTAATAATACTTCAAGCTTAATGGTATCAACAGTTACACCTGTAAGGAGTGGAACCGTTAGTGTCAGATGGTGATAGCGGTTGTTGTAATTGGTGACACACAGTACAAACATGAGTCTAAACAGTTACAGAACCTAGGAGTGGAACATTTAGTGTCAGATGGTGGTAGCGCTTGTTGTAACTAGTGACAATTCAAACACGAGTCTAAACAGTTACAAAACCAAGGAGTGGAACAGTTAGTGTCAGATGGTGGTAGCGGTTGTTGTAACTAGTGACGCACAGTTCAAACATGAGTCTAAACAGTTACAGAACCAGGAAGTGGAACAGTTAGTGTCAGATGGTAGTAGCGGTTGATTTAACTAGAGAAACACTGTTCAAACATGAGTCTAAACAGTTACAAAACCAAGGAGTGGAACAGTTAGTGTCAGATGGCGGTAGCGGTTGTTGTAACTAGTGACAATTCAAACATGAGTCTAAACAGTTACAGAACCAAGGAGTGGAACAGTTAGTGTCAGATGGCGGTAGCGGTTGTTGTAACTAGTGACAATTCAAACATGAGTCTAAACAGTTACAGAACCAAGGAGTGGAACAGTTAGTGTCAGATGGCGGTAGCGGTTGTTGTAACTAGTGACGCACAGTTCAAACATGAGTCTAAACAGTTACAGAACCAAGGAGTGGAACAGTTAGTGTCAGATGGTGGTAGCGGTTGTTGTAACTAGTGACACACAGTTCAAACATGAGTCTAAACAGTTACAGAACCAAGGAGTGGAACAGTTAGTGTCAGGTGGTGGTAGCGGTTGTTGCAGAGTGTTGATTAAGCTCCCCTGATTACAGGGCTGCTGATTGATTTGTAACGGACGCTAAGTGTTCGACCAGCCGACAGCCTTGTATCACCACCAACTAATGAATAAACCCAATGCTACACTGTATTAGCTACGGGGTGTTACACACTTTATATTAACTCCGATTCTTTTTCGTAAATTGAAAAAAATATTTTCTAACTATAAGTA